TTCTTGAGTTCAGGCAATCTGAGCGTCATCTGGCGGTCGTCTAACAGATTTTTGGTTTGGTCGAAAGTTTTCTTAAGCGGTCTCTGTTCACGAAAACTTAGTTTTGCCTAACAACTCCAATAGGAGTGCTGCTATATCGTTGAAGTTCTTGACGAACCGACTGTAAATCGCCACCCTTCACAAAAATTGTCTCAATTTCCTTCTCAAATCAGGTACAGCAATGTTTTTTATGGTTACAATTTTCTCAGGCAACCGTTTTATTTTTCCATTTCCCGATTTATGCCACAACAAAACGACGCCACTTCTCGCCATCTGAGACTTGTCCTTATTAATTCATAGTCTAAATTCTTCAATTTGCCTTATGATCGCTTCCACGCAGCTGCCAACAACCTGACCGTAAATCCAGCACTGTAAACACAGTGACATTCTAATACTATTGATATCGCACATGGTTTCAGCTCTGTCATGTTATTCGGTTCTCTAAAATCGACACAGAATCCGTACTTTAAATTCAGTTTCTTTACCAAGAGTACTCGCAAGCTAAGTGGGATTCCTTCTCTTCAATTTCCCTTTACTTCAACATCTTGAATTGTCGATTAACATCAGCCTCTAAATGCACGGGAACCCGACGCGTTGCAAATATAGTTACTGGATTGTTCTTTACAGGAATTTCATGCTTTACTTTGTCACAAAATATATACAGCTCTCCGTCTCTCGTGAAAAGTTTCGTACAATTTTTGAACAGTTCATTATTGGTTAGTTCCTTCGTCGGAATGTCTGTAGCTACTCTTATTTTGGCCACTTCGCTAATCTTATTCACAGAGAATGAGCCGTATTTCGTAACCATCTTATTGCTTAGTAGGTCAAACGTCGGTATTAATTTTTGGGGAAATCTGCTACTAACAAAAGTTTCGGCAGTCTTGTGGTCAGACATACGTACAAAATCTAAAATGTGGCACCTATGTACTGGACAGCTTACATACCTACTTACTTATGCCTGTTACTCCTAATGGAGCATAGGCCGCCGACCACCATTCTCCAACCCGCTCTGTCCCGGGCCATCTTTTCTAGTTCCATCCAATTCTTGTTCATTTTTCTCATGTCTAACTCCATTTCCAGGTGTACTGTGTTCTTTGATCTTCCTCTGCTCCTTTGACCTTGAGGATTCCATGTGAGCGCTTGCCTTGTGATGCAGTTGGGTGCTTTCCTCAATGTGTGTTCTATCCATTTCCAGCGCTTCTCCCTGATTTCTTCCTCCACTGGGTTCAGATTTGTTCTCTCCCACAGTGGGAGAGAAATCTGGTTTGTTCTCCCACACAACAGGTTGTTGCTGTTAGTATTTGGCCTACGGATCAGAAGTATTTAGCGTAGACAACCATTAATAAACACTTGTATCTTCTGGATGATGGCTTTCGAAGTTCTCTAGGTTTCCGCCCCATACAGTAGAATTGTCTTGACATTTGTATTGAAAATTCTGATTTTGGTGTTGATTGCCAATTGTTTTGAGTTCCAGATGATCTGCAGTTGTAAATATGCTGTTCTTGCTTTGCCGATCCACGCCTTCACATATGCATCAGATCCACCGTGTTCATCGATGATGCTGCCCAGATAGGTAAAGGTTTTTACATCTCCCAAATGTTCTCCGTCAATTGTGGTTGAATTGGTGCATGCTGTGTTGTATCGGAGAATCTTGCTTTTCCGTTTTTGTATATTGAGACCTACTGCTGCTGAGGCTGCTGACACACTGGTCGTTTTCTCCTGCCTTTGTTGTTGCGTTTGCGATAGAAGAGCCAGATCATCTGCGAAGTCTAGATCATCCAACTGCATCGTAGCTGTCCACTGCACTCCATGCTTCCCTTCAGATGTTGACGTCTTCATGATCCAGCCGATCACCAGGAGAAAGAGAAAGGGTGAAAGTTAGAAACCTTGTCTGAAACCGGTCTTTACTTCGAACGACTTTGTCAACTGTCCTCCATGCACGATTTTGCAGTATAATCCATCATAGGAATTCCGTATGATATTGACTATCTTCTGAGGCACGCCGTAATGTCGAAGAAGCTTCCATAGGTTTGTTCTGTCCACGCTATCAAATGCTTTTTCGTAGTCAATGATGTCGATATAGAGTGATGAATTCCATTCAATTGATTGTTCCACAATGATGCGTAGTGTTGCGATTTGGTCTGTACACGATCGATCCTTACGAATCCAGCCTGTTGGTCTGGAAGTTGAGCATCTATGGAGTCCTTCATTCTGCTTAACAATACCCTGTTGAAGACGTTTCCTGGTATTGAGAGAAGAGTGATACCTCTGTAGTTCTCGCACTTGCTGAGATTGCCTTCCTTTTGTTATTTTGATCAAAAAGCCTTCTTTACGGCCTGTTGTAGTTGTTCTTCTTCCTAAATCCAGATGAAGGCATCATTGCAACTCTTTGTGCATGTGGGGCATATTCTTCTTCATGGCCGGAATATAATAGCAGCTCCCCTGAAGCTAGTCCTTGTTGTCCAACTTGCATCCAATGTGTTTCACTGATTCCAACCAACTCCACGTTGTATCTTCTCATTTCTGCAGCAACTTGGATGACTCTCCCGGTCTCCCACATTGTACGAGCATTCCATGTACCTAAATAAATGGTTGTTCTGGTTGTCAGAAAGGACATCGGCCCCGTGACTTGCGAAGGAACTCGACTTTCACCACGAGGCGTCATAACTCTTTTAAACGAAGACCTTCTGACTCCCACAGTAGAGTTTAAATGGTTTGAATAATTTTTTCTGGTTATCGATTTTTAGTGAGTTAGTTTTCTACGGGATGGGGTTGCTAACTCCATGTCCAACTCTCCTCCTTCATCGGGGCATTGGACCTGCAGTAGCCTCAGAGGGGCTCCAGTCGGAGTCTCTTACATTAGTTTGTGCCTAACAACGATGCCGCCACACTTAAATCGATCAGATACACTAAATGTCGTTTGTTTGTGCTAACTGTCTTATGAAATACCCCTCTGCCTACTAATACAACAACCTCTAGATTCCTTGGGTAGAAAGAACACGAATTATATAGTCAAAGATATCTGGGTTTTCGTCTTGTTGAACAGTTTCTCTATCAATGTCTTGTTCCTCCATAAACGTAACAATTATCATTTCCGTTATTATTCACTCGTATTGGGGCAACCTCATGCTGCAGCTCCTCTATCTGCTGACTTCCGCACCCCACCAGAGTTACTGTTCAGGTAATCAACTTTCGGGTTAATTTGGCTAGTTCATCGATATCCATGGGTTTCGGGGCTGTTACTAGTTTTAATTGTTGGAAAATATCTTCAGGCATGCTATCGATAGATTGCAATGCTAGCAACTGTGCTTCTGACTGCTCATCTAGATTCGACAGCGCAAGACGAAACAACCCGGTAAGCTTTACAGCCAGCACCAATGGGCCAGCACTCACTAACAACATCACCAGACGGAATCTCTCCAATGCAACTACATTATTTGTTAATGAAGTGCTCTTATGAGTTATTATTTATCTTCAAAATATTTATAATTTAGCAAAATTCATAAATTAGTTAAAATGTGATCGATAAATATTATTATCGATCATAAAATATTATAATATGTTTTCCGTTTGAGATTTGATTGATTTTTTAATGTATCTGTCTATTTCATATCAATTACAAAGTGGATTGGTTGAAGTTAGACATTAACACCGTTGAATACCGGCTCAGTGGTCTAATGGTTAAGTGCTCACGTGTGAGACTGGTAGGTTCTGGGTTCGAATCTCATGGGGGGTAGGATCGTAAATGCGCACTGCTGAAGAGTCCCACAATAGGACTAAAGGTCGGTCCAGTGCTTACAGGTTTTCCATGGTGGTATAACTTCAATCGACTCATGATTTCAACTATTGAAATTACAAACTAACTAATAAATTTATTTATTTTGGCACCTTCAATTTAACCTATTCATTAAATATTGGAAAACGATACTGTTTATATTCTTCATATTATTTCTGTGTTTATTTTCTAAGAGAATGCTTCATAGGATGAAATTTGTTACGAGTGAATAATCTACAAATACTCATCGGAAGTACAATATCTTTTCGTGTTTGTAATCCATCATTTATTTTTCAAGTTATTGTATAAAATATCAAATAAGATACAATGATAGTTAGTCAATGTATTTAGTTGTAGCTATTACAAATTACATGTAAACTATTGTAGGATGTTTTGTTTTGTTTTTTAATCATAATCGATAATAGCAGAAGAATATCAAATGTTTAATTATAATGATTTTATTTAATTCTATCATGATGAATCAAATAGTAACCTGATAGTTTAATGACTATTTAGAAAACATATGAAAAATACACGTTTCCATAAACTGATGATATTTCATTGAATATTTGTTCAGTAGGTTATATTTCTTTTGAGTTGACAAATGGGATATATCATGAATTCATTTTATTTCGTAGGTTCTCGTCAGTTGCTTACAACATGAGAGATTTGGTTGGAAGTTACATTGAAAACATATTCGTATAGTATAGCAAGGGTGTATGAATATGTCTTCAATATAACTTCCAACCAAACCTCTCGCAGCTGATGAAAACCTACAAAATGAAATGAATTCATGCTAATCTGCTGGAATCTTTATTCTTTCTCTTTTCAAAATGAAAAAAGGGAACTATCTGTATGAAGTAAGCTATATGATGAAACGGACTTAAACTACTAACAACATCTTTATATATAATTCAAAGCCTTTATATATATATATATATATATATATATATATATATATATATATATATATATATATATATATATATATATATATATATATATATATATATATACAAGGCTTTATATCTAAATACATTTATATAATAAACCATATAACATTTTCACTATTTTCTACCTTATTTCTAATTACTGAACTGTTTTAATAATTATAACTTACAACTAATTCAATACAAGATGTATTATTTTAGGGGGGGGTGAGAAAATAACTATGGTGATTATAAATTTAAAGATGATATTTTATTTGAATTGGTCAAACTTGTGTATCATATGATATCATTCAATAGATTTTCATCAGTTCAAATTTAGTTTACGTAATCTAAAAAATTGAAAATAAAGATATAATATGATCAATGGAAAACAATAAATCCATCAGTGAAATTTAATTATACATCTTTGAGTAAATTTCTTTTCAATTATTATATAATATGGACTTTGGTATTTAATAAGGACTAGTTACCTGTTACATAATACTATCCAGTCATTTTGCTTATATTGATGAAATTCTATATCATTCCATTGTATAAGGTATGATATTTTTATTATAAGAAATCATTCAGTCAATAACTGTTATAAAACTGTAAGAAATGTTATGAAGTTACTAGACTTGAACTTCAAAATCATTCATAGTAACGTTAAATAGAAATGTGAAAGAAAGTTTAATTCTTGAATTAGATTATTACAATAGTACAATCATTGAATAAATTTTTTCCTGATTAGCGTTTTTTAGCGAGTTAGTTTTCTAAGGGATGGGGTCGCTAGCTCCATCCTAAACCCTCCTCCTTTATCCGGGCTTGGGACCGGCAGAAGCCTCCAGAAAGACTCCAGGCGGGGAAAAGACCGGTGTCAAGCAAGGTTTCTAACTTTCACCCTTTCTCTTTCTCCTGGTGATCGGCTGGATCATGAAGACGTCAACATCTGAAGGGAAGCATGGAGTGCAGTGGACAGCTACGATGCAGTTGGATGATCTAGACTTCGCAGATGATCTGGCTCTTCTATCGCAAACGCAACAACAAAGGCAGGAGAAAACGACCAGTGTGTCAGCAGCCTCAGCAGCAGTAGGTCTCAATATACAAAAACGGAAAAGCAAGATTCTCCGATACAACACAGCATGCACCAATTCAACCACAATTGACGGAGAACATTTGGGAGATGTAAAAACCTTTACCTATCTGGGCAGCATCATCGATGAACACGGTGGATCTGATGCATATGTGAAGGCGTGGATCGGCAAAGCAAGAACAGCATATTTACAACTGTAGATCATCTGGAACTCAAAACAATTGGCAATCAACACCAAAATCAGAATTTTCAATACAAATGTCAAGACAATTCTACTGTATGGGGCGGAAACCTAGAGAACTTCGAAATCCATCATCCAGAAGATACAAGTGTTTATTAATGGTTGTCTACGCTAAATACTTCTGATCCGTAGGCCAAATACTAACAGCAACAACCTGTTGTGTGGGAGAACAAACCAGATTTCTCTCCCACTGTGTGAGAGAACAAATCTGAACCCAGTGGAGGAAGAAATCAGGGAGAAGCGCTGGAAATGGATAGAACACACATTGAGGAAAGCACCCAACTGCATCACAAGGCAAGCGCTCACATGGAATCCTCAAGGTCAAAGGAGCAGAGGAAGATCAAAGAACACAGTACACCTGGAAATGGAGTTAGACATGAGAAAAATGATCAAGAAATGGATGGAACTAGAAAAGAAGGCCCGGGACAGAGCGGGTTGGAGAATGGTGGTCGGCGGCCTATGCTCCATTAGGAGTAACAGGCATCAGTAATTAAGTAAGTACAATCATTGTTTTTATCTAGTTGTTAATTTTACTATAACCATCTATATAAATACTGTGTGATCAACTCAATCAGCCTAAAATATAAAAATTATGTTTAACGTATTTACCAAAATAAATTAAAATCTTTCAACTTACAATGTATAATTCTTCCGTACACTCTTAGAAATTAATTTTAAACAGATAGTTTTTCATTAATACAATGATCGTTCAGACAAATTATGATGAAAAATTTATTTCTCTTATTTTCTGTTTCGTTTATTATTTTCTATATAAACATGTTGTATTGTGTGTCATATTCAGTAATGAAAATAACACTAGTTATCTCATCAAATGAGAAATCTAAAAACAAACTTAATATAATAGACATGTATTTATATGAAGGTATATTGATTATAGATTAATTGGGAAAAAAAGAATGAATAATAATCAAAGTAATTATTCGAAAATTAAGCAGTTGCTACGTTGCATAATATATAAAAGAAAAGAGAAGTAACCAATAAAATATTTTGATGAAAGGCAATATAAAAAACTTTTAATGCAACCAAACTGAATGTCATCTTTTATAACTGCCCCACAATAAGAACGACTGATAAAGACAGATTACCTGAATTTGCCACATCTATGTGTATTTATTGATTCAACTGCTCCTGCAGAGCCAGTTATATAGGGTGTACAATTCGGCAAATTTGTCATCGTATAACAGAACACCATCCGCCATTGTTGAGCAAAGGACAGACAACAGTGATTAAGAGTTCTATTCTAGCTTACTTGGTGGACACAGGTCATCAAGTTGAACTGAACAAAGCTTTTAAGGTTATTCCATCAAATTTATCACATGGTTTAAGAGTGCGTCTTTTGCACATTGTTGAAGCCATTGAAATCCATGTTCACAAATCTAACCTTTGCATCCAAAAGAAGTCCGTACAACCACTCTCGCTACCTTGGTCATCAGTATACGGAAGTTCGTAGCAGAACTTTGATTAACTATCTTCATATTCCTCCCATTTTTTTGTATTTTACTTATTTTCAACATTGGTCTCTTGATTCTTACATAACTAATATACTACCGACCATTCATCATAATATTTTGTTAGTTCCTTCTCTTTATATATATATATATATGCTATGCAACGTAGCAACTGCTTGATTTTCGAATAATTACTTTGCTTATTATTAATCATCTTTCTTCCAATTACTCAATGTTAATTTATAATCTATATGTCATTACATAATTATTACGTAACATATCCACTTGATGAGTATTATTCCATTATTGTAAATCATATATATGTATTTTAACAGTGAAGTTAATAATTTAAGTGTAAATACTAAAATGAAAATAATACTGAGTATTTGAGATCATGAGTCAATTAAATCTAGAGCACCATGAAAAACCTGTAAGCAATGGACGGCTGTGGATTAGTCGAAGTTAGACATTAACACCGTTGGATCCCGGTCATCCCAGTGGTCTAGTGGTGAGGAGCTTGCGCGCGAGACTGATAGGCTCTGGGTTCAAATCTCTCGAGGAGAGATCATGGATGTGCACTGCTGAGCAGTTCCACAATAGAACGAAACGTTCATCCAATGTTTCCAGGTAGTGGTCTCGCTTCAATTGACGCATGATCTCAACTATTGAAATTACTATAATCTCCACAAAACCCCTTCAGATATTACTGAATAGCTTTATATTGTAGACAAAATTTCCTGTACTGGATTCGATTAAAAAACCTTGAATAGACTGACGTATAATAATAATTATAATAATATGAATTTTAATAAATTCATTAAAATCATTCAATGGAATAATCTATAAATAATTTATAACTGAACACTGGTAGAAGCGATAATGAAGGTTGAAGTGATCTACCGAATCTGTTAATATTTAAAAAGGAATAATCTAAAAATAGCCAATCAGTATAAAACATAATTTGAAAACTAGTTTGTCAACATGTTGTATATTTTGATTTAGGTTGTTTTGAAATAAAACTTACTCAAATACATAGTAAATTGGGCTAAAGGTAAGGAATTAATATTTTTAGAGAAAAATAAGAGGGGAGCAAATATAGTCTGTTATCTTGCTGAAATAAATTCAACATTTAGGAATTCCATAGAACCTTCCTATTAATTATCAATATAATCTGATTTTAATACTTTCTTCATATGCTATTTCACAATGTAAGTGATTTAATACACATACTGACATATAATCACTATAGGAGGCTTAATGGAGATTTTCCAATTCTTGTCGTTAACACCAGTGACTAATCCTTTTTAAGTGACTAAAGATAACCATAAATCACTGAGCAGCTGGTTCGTCATAGCATGGAACTTTAAAACCGTAGGTGCTAGGTTCGATCCTTGGTGGTGGGATGGTGAATGAGTACTGTTTAGAAGTCATAAACCGTGACGAGACAGGTGGCCAATGGTTCCTGATACGAAATCCCTCTATTATAAAGATCAGTATGTGATATTAATAATATTATTAGCATAAAACTTTTAAACTAATTTAATACTAGTTAAAGAATTTCACTCACTTCACCAACCACAATGGTAGGCTATGTTGTGTAAGTATTTTAAAAATTAAAATGAATATTCCTCATCACTGTAGTCAAATTCAAAATGGTTGACAGTATGCTTCCCTAATAATAATTTCCGTAATGATTAAATAAACTAAGGATATCCAATGAATTTAAGTGAAGTTATAGTTTCTGTAAAATTTCCAAATGAATTTCGACTGGCTTCAAGAGGTATATCCTGGAGTTCTAGTGAGAAGCAGTAACCAGTCGAGTTCAACCGGGTCTGTTGTGAGATAGTAACTCACTGATGACAAAGGGTGGATGTGTCACTCAATTTCGTGGATTAGTCAAAGTTAGACATTAACACTATTGGATACTGGCTCAGTAGTCTAGGGGTTAAGCGCTCGCGCTCCTGGGTTTGAATCTCACGAGGCGGGATCGTGGATATGCACTGCTGAGAAGTCCCACAATAGGACGAATCGGCAGTTCAGTGCTTCCAGGTTTCCCATGGTGGTCAATCTTCAAATGAATCATGATCTCAACCATTAAAAAAAGAATGTCGAATTGTCACATTAACTTGTCTGTTTACAAAATGCAAATTAAATAATACATTGATTGGAGATACTGATATATAAATAAATCCAATGAGTAGAAATCATATCAGTCTCACTTATCAAGCTTGCGAATAAACATCCTTCTCAAATACGATACACTTTGTTGTATAGTATACCATAAAAACAAGGTTTCTTCATTCACAATATCACATGTATAACTAGTGATAAAACACAATCAGATTACTGAGGTACAATTCTTATCATTAATATTTTATCCTGTTATTGTTAAGTGACTTATTTTATCGATAAAAGAAATTACTATCTCAAAAAACAGTAATCATCAATCAAAACTTACACAGATCCAGAATTGAGACTGCGATGAAAATAGATTCAAGAAACAGATATTAGGCTTCATTGTCAGAACTTGAATTCATTGTCTATTGTGTGGTCTGCAAAGTCTCTCTCTAAGAGTCATTCATTTTTAAATAATCGTCGAATAATGCTCCACATGATTAACATTTATAGGATGAATAGATGATTTATTCAATAATGAAGAAACTAGTTTGTTCAGTAGACGTTTTACACTACGATGTTCATTCTGACAATGTTTTAGATGTCAGTCGTTATAATTCAGTTTAAATGATATCATCACTTAAGCTAAAATTAATCATACAATATATCTACTCATGGCTGGATGTACACTAGTTATTTCTATAAAAAAAGCCAAGTCAGTTTGCAACTTACATTTCAAAAAGTTTGTGAAATGGATTCCTAATGTGAACAAAAAATAATCAATATACTGGTTTAAATGAAGTTTTACGTGATTGAGATTTAACAGTCAAATATTAATTAATGGAATGATAAAAATTTTCTTCTGTGAATCTGTTGATTTTTCAAGCGAATAACCAGTAAAACATGTTCAGAGCTGTATACCATAAAGAAGCGCATGACATTTCAAATAAGATATAGTGCCTTGTTTACGGTACTCAATCCCTTCTAACAGTTCTTAAATTGAAATCATTTTTCACTGATCATCTACAATCTGTATACGGTTCTTTTCGGATTCTTTCCAGTCAGTAATAATGTCAATTAAATTGACAATGTAATTAGTTTGTATTTTCGCGATTGCTGAAAACTTGTTAATTTGTTTTATCTTCATTATAAATCAAAGTAATGCCATTCAGTAATAACAATAATACATCTAATCCACTCATTTGAATTATAATGGTCTAAGTAATTCGATTATTTATGGAATGAAAAATTATTTAAATGTTTATGACGATGAACTACTGATCGTTGTGTTATATATAAACAAAAGTAGTCATCTAAATGTTTAGTCAGATTAAATCAAATATATGCACAGCAGAATAAATAACAGTGAGCATCCACGATCCCGCTCGCGGAATTTGAACCCAGAGCCTTCAGTCTCACGTACGAACGCTTGACCTACTTTGCCAATGAGACGGCGTCCGACGGTTTTAATGTCTAACCTCGACCAATCCACGAAATTGCGCGGCCATCTTCTGAAACTGAAGACTCTGGGTTTCGAATCCTGAGGGCGGAATCGTGGACGCGCACAATAGGACGAAACGGCCGTCCAGTACTTCCAGGCTCTCAACGGCGGTCTAACATCAATCGGTTCAAGATCTCAATCAATAACGTAATAATCTTCACAACCCTATAATGAAAATAAATAACAAACTATAATCTCTATAGTAATATAGGTGATAAACACGAAAGATGTAAAACATTTTGTGTAATGGAATCAAAAAGAAAGTTATTTCATTTTTATGGAAGATAAATAGTCTTTGGAGAATCAATTTTTTCCTTCAGTTTCCATAACACTGTATTATATCGTATTTTTTTAGATATTCAATAGGAAAAAATATGATTTGATTTGATTAGATAATGATAAAGCATGTTATAAAATCTGATATGGAATAAGTAGCCTTACTCTTCTTCTTCTATTTGTTTACTATAATTCACAGAAAGATTAGAGGGTAAATAAATGGCATGGGTTTAAATATTTTAACAGAGATGATGTGTGTGTGTGATCACTAGATTTCTTGATATCAACAGAAAGTTATACGCTTTGAATAATAACAAGCATATACTTCTATTCCAAATGTGAAATTGAATTAACAGCTAATTGTGACGGTGTCCAATATTCAACTGATAATTTCCAGAAAAATAAAAATCAAACTAGATCAACATCTTTCTGTAAATGTTACATTGGTTTTAGTGAAGCCGGTAAAATGGTAATTTGATCTAGGTATCATAGCTTTTCTTATTATTTGGAGTGATCGGTTTAGAGATCAAGACGAATAATCACATTTACACTCATGGTTACATTCAGATGATGTATTCCACAAACCAACAAACAAAACACCTGAATTTAATTCTATCCTTTGCTATGTCAGACAGAGTTGAGACGTTTCATTTTAGTTTGCATAAAGAACAAACTTTAGTAACCACAAATCTCAGTTTGCTTGACAGCTACAATAATTTTATGAATAATATCATTAGAGTAATACAATAAATGCTGCTGAAAATAACATTACAACAGCCAGTTAATAAAATGGGAAAACATGTTATTTGTTTCCAAATATGATCCATATTGAAATAAATTGGGACATTACCTCTGAGCAATTTACACAGACAGAGTATTGAAACTTAAGTCTCAGACAGGAAACACAATTAATGGAATTCTAAAATACTGAAGAGTAGACAGATAGATTCAGAACTATCAAATATTCAGTTATGTTGAGCTATCCATCTCGTGTAAATCACAGCTCAAAAGTCTATTTCTGTCAGTTTTCGTATTCGGTTTTGTCATGATACTGATATGAGGTATTCTTCAGTGTGGAAATAGTATAAACACTGAATATTATCAGAGGGATCACACCGACACCACTAACGAAGACGCTTTAAGTTAGAGCAGTTTATATTTTCTTTTGGGTCTTTCTAGAAGAGACAAATGTGTAGATTTATTCATGAAATTGCCACATTTATTGTCACTGTATGATTTTGTGACGTTTGTAATAGTACTGAATCAAATGTGTTTGCATTATTCATGAATAAAGGAAGATTTTGAGTCTGATGGAGATTAGAAAGAAAGGATGCAGTGTGATTTATTTTGGAGCAGAATTTAGCTTTTTTCAATCAATGTGGGAACTATAATACATCGATTAAATCATTACTTTCAATCACCTACAAGATTATACTGTTGTACAGCATTTCATGAATATCATGTTCAGTTTTCCATATAGAACCATTTAGGCATTTCGTATTTAATCCAAAAAAATACTAACTATCGAAGTAAGAATAACAAAAATAAAAATGATCATCTTACTGTGGAAAATCGGGAAGTTGGCTAAGATATTTGGTAAAGAAAAATGTTGGTATGATCGTTTATAATAATCCATGGAGAAACAATGTTGTTTTACTTTTGTAATCCTTCATAAAAGGGTTAAATTTGTTAACAGGTACTAATGTTTTCATTTGCATCACATGTGTAATGAAGAAACAACAAATTTTATGAATTACAAACTAAATCGCATAGACTAATTTCAAAGTAAGTACAACTTAAAATCAATAGTTTCTCAGCTTTTAATTAAGATTTTGGCAAAGTCAAATAGGAACAAATAATTCATTAAGCAACAGTAACCTCTCTATTTCAATCTAGCTAAAGACTAATGCAACTCTAACTAGAAATTGCTCACCATTATTCTTCACAACTTTCAATCTTAACATTAGAGATTACGGGTAAAATTATTCTTCATACACTATACGACAATGTATGTCTTTTTTCAAGTTGAAGCTTTCGGGAAATAATTATGGTTAAGAAACTAACCATGACATTCATTGAATTTACTCTTCCAATATCAAATACAGAATTAAATTATTAAATTCTACTAGGTCCTGACATAAATGATGTCAATTTTTAAGGAAAATCACCTTGGAGTATGCTTGGAAACGTTTAATTCATGTGGCAGAATGTATCGTAATAATCACATTAACATCGCAGTTCTTACAGTTGGTCACTGTATGTAGATCGAACTATGCAACTTGATCTGTAAGCGAAACTTTTTGACGAACAATGAAGTGAAATGTATATCTAAAATCAAAGGTCAAAAACTTACTCGTCGTATTCAGGCATCTCGTGAGAGTTTCTGTTAACAGATTTAAAAGGGACACGAACAAGATTAGTGATACCATCGAGTATCCTTTTTACCCTGATTTCCGAAATTCTAATCATCTCTGTTATTATTTGAAAATTAGTTAGAAAGTAATCTTATTCTCATTGAACTGTGATGAAAAAACACTGAAGCTTATCCCTAAAACAATTTAGTTGGCGTCTAAATTATTAAGGAATTTTTACTGATTCGGAGTAATTATCCCACGTCACAAAGGCAACGTATGAAAGTTTTTTTCACTGGTTAGTAATTAACCTTTCCTCCAGTCTCTTGTGATATCCAATCACGCTTGTTTACATATCAATACTTTTCAAATAAGTATCTTATTTCGTTTGATAAGAAACTATTCTGCTGGACAAATATCGTGTCTTTTGACATCGGCTCATCCTACGCTTATGTCAGTGATCCAGTTTTGAGAGCAGACATTACTTGATCATTCCACATTATTTCATATTATTTATCAGTCGACGCATTCCACTTAGTAATTTCATGAACCCAAAACACCCTTTAATTGCAAATCTTCAAACCTTGATTCATAACATTCAACCGAGGCACTTTTTAAAGCTGTGTCGAATTATCATTGTTATTATTCCATGTGAGTTCAGACCTGAAAAAGTTTATGTCGTTATATCATAATTGACTGACAATCTACGAATCGAATATGCTAATGATTTTATTACATATCTCCAATTGAGGTGACAAAAATAGGATAAAACAACGAAAATACAACTGATATTTTTAATGCTGGTGTGGAAATATTTGAACAGATAAGTTTAGCTTCTTTTCTCAGAATAATTGAGTTAAATAATGTGAAGAGAAAACTATATATAAAGATTCATACATTGTCTTACTTGTGGCTGACTTGACTATTGTATTTACCTAAACTGGAAAGATACCGTTGAAAATGTCGAATTATTAGTAATATTGAGCTCAGAATCTGAATAGAACGAGTGAATAGAATCGAGTTTCATCATCATTGTCTTGAAATGAGCTTGAAACCCACACACTGACTTGTTCGATATGTTTTCGGGAATAAACTCTAATGAAATGCATACTGAAGTAGAGTTCCCCAGGACAAAGACATTGAATGAATCATTGTACGATTAGTTGACATTAATAATACTACATGGGAATGTTACGAGCAAGGATTTTTTATAATGTAAAGAATGAATAAAACCTTCTTGGAAGCAGCTTTTTAAAAAACTCAATAGCTCGATTATTGCCTGACTGAGAATATGAGTCACATTTGATGATAAAATACTCATTTGAAGTATACTACCCCTCACTTTATGTTTATTATGGGTAAATTATTTAGCTTTCATGACTAACTGTAGAAGAAAACTATTTATGGTCATTGGCTAAAGTCATTGTGTGTGCTTTCCTTCACTTGAAATTTATCTACTGTTTAGTGTTTCATAGTTTCCTATAGATCTCCAGCTGATACCAGTCTTTGATGACAGTTAACCTTATATATTATGGGTTGGAACTTATTATATCTGATTTATCATTGATAATAATGATCATTTGTATTGACTCAATCTGACCGAAAGCGTATTCACACTTCTCTTCGTGTCTCTTAATATTCTAAACCTCAGTAACTCTCAGATAACAGTTATCTATATCGAATTCATTTTTGATATGAGCCATTACGAAAATTTACTATTCGAAGTTCGAGAAATTTGTAATTCATTAAATCAAATATAAAGAAAATGGTGTTTATCTCTACTGAACATGACTGAGTACTTTAATACAAGTTTATTTTGTAAAATTCATTTTTTCAGTATCTGAAAATATAATGAAACCACATATAAACAGAATCATATTTCATCAAATTTCCTTATTGTTTGCTGTTCTAGTTCAAGGTAAATAGATGTTAAAAACATACTAACATGGTGTTCTAATTTTTTTGATGGAGTTTTGTTCTTTGAGCTGGATGGTTCGGCCGTGGAGCTTTCATTGTTCTTCTGAACGACATTATCAGCACAAACTACAGGTTCTAGACTTTCATAAAGTGATACTTGCCTAGTGTACACAATTGTCCTACTGGATATAATAATTCAAATACAGATTGAAATTTGATTAAATAACAAAAAACCGATCAATTTTAACTAATAAGTGAAATTGCAAGCCTGATATCATTATGGTTACACATTTAAGCATCCTTAAGTGTTACATAATACAACCTTATTTAAATGAATAATAATTGATAGTATATTATTAAGATATTGAATTAAATTTATTATGGTAAAATATGAATTTTTTTTCTAATGTTCATAATTTGTTTATCATCAATAATTCTTACTTGTAATAATATACTTTTTGTATAACTGTAAATAAAACAGCATTTCTAAATCATGAACCTGTTATTAGGAAAGATGAACTATAAATATTGGTTATTATACTAGAAAATATTGCAACAACTTATAATGTTATGATGGACGGTGGCGCAATCTCGTGGATTAGTTGAAGTTAGACATTAACACTGTTGGATACTAGCTCATTGGTCTAAAGGTTAAGTGTTCGCGCATGAGACTGATAGGTCCAGGGTTCAAATCTCGAGAGGCGAGATCGTGGATGCGTACTGCTAGGGAGTCCCATACTAAAATGAAACGTCCGATCAGTGCTTCCAGGTTTTCAGTGGTGGTCTAGCTTCAATTGACTCATGAATTCAACTATTAAATTATAATGTTATGCCCATATCGCTTGTAAATATTTAAACATATATTTTTTTAAACATTGTTTAGATGCCATTTATGTTCATCGTCAAGTTTCGCTCCCTTGACGTCTATTTTCACCAATAAATATATTTAATGCTATCATTACCATTATCTGATTTTCAGAAGGACAGAAAAATAAGGAATTTATCTCATTTTTGTTTGTATTCTGATGTATTCAGCTTTGTGTGAATAGATAGAGTAGAAATAGATTATCAATTATTTAAAATAAATTCAACAAGTATGAGGTTGCTATAATGTGAGCATATTTACAAAACAAGTGACCAAAAATTTTAAGCAAGTAAAGATCTAATTATATGACTGTGTATCCATCGTAAATTCTTTAAAACTATACAATTTCTCATATTGATTGTTTAGAGGAAGCACATTATGAAATATAAATGGCTATTAGTATTTAAACCTTTATTAGATTTTTTGATAGTTATATATTATTTAATATGTTACAATAAAACTTTATTAGAAAATAATACTTACGTGGTTCATAGTTTGAGTAAACGCTGAGAATGGTGTACACTAAAGTTATATAAAGTGTAAAGAAATTCATTTCTAAATATGAATTGTAAGTTGAACAGTTAGACAATTATAGTACTTGGAATAATTTCAGTTTTCTCCAATATATATATATATATATATATGTACACAGGTTAATTTCTCTTAGCAATTAAAAGTAATATTTGATGAATAAACTAATTTATTAATTAACATACATAATCATAAAATATCCAGTTTCAAATGTAAAATACAAATGGAAATAAACATATCCTTTTACATATAAATAATGTAAATGGGTGTGTATGTGTGTGTGTGTGTAATAGACGTAATTGTTTTGAATAAACAAAATTATAGGTAAATATTCATTTCTTTTTTTTGCATCAATATTGGTAAGCAACTTATTCATATGAAATTTTACTAAAACATCTAAATGTACTTTAAAATTTCATGAAGTGATTTTATCAATTTATTCAATGTTTTATAAATTAATTCATTCTATTCTTTCTATAATTGAACTCATGATATTTAAAGATGAGACTATCATTTATGAAAGACCGTTGAGCTACTCCAGACTAACTAACCTTGAGAATATCTACCTGATAACTAGCACCGAATGAGGGTTATAAATTAGCATGAGAAATTCGAGTTATGATTTAAAGTTAATGGTTCAAGTTAGGAATTAGATTTAGGATTTTCATCACGAACTGACATCAAGTATAATAACAAAACACTATTTAGTCAAATTGATGAGTGAATTTCATACCAAAATCCCAGACTTATTATCATATACCTGATTAGTTCATCCATAAATTATAGTCTCGCCTATTTAAACTTCACAAGAAGTAAATTATCCACACAGTTTGTTGATTAGAACAAAATAAGTCAAATTTTTTTTAAAAAAAGTTTATTTAAATGGTGGTTGGAGGTATTCGACAGGAAACCATGGACCCGGGTTTTGTGCTACTTGGCACCATCTAATCTCACAATAGTGCCCGCAGTGTCGAGTCACCCAGACTGATGGCCACATTGCAACATGGTCGATAGCATTCGATCTGCACTAATTATAAGGACTAGACACGTATGATATTGGTCACCACCCAGTGATCAATCAATTGTGAAAGTTTATTTAAATTTACAATAAAATGTAGTTATCAATTAGTGTTGAAGGAGAATATTTATTTACATTAATGATAATATTAATATCTACAGAGTAGAATGTTCTATTTGAAGATAGGATCTGTGTCAAGGGTACTTGGTTTTACTTTAATGTGAGGTATTGATACGAAATAAACAAAATAGTTGGAAATAGTGAATTCGACTGATTTATATAAAGAAGGCTTATTGTTTCTTAATTTGCTTAAAATGCTAAATGTTGAAAGTTCAAAAATTCTTTACGTTAAATTTGTAATGTAGAAATTTTATATCAACAGTTTCGTTTATTTACTTATAAAAGGTTGCAAGCGTTTGTATATCCTTGTAGCCAGTAACATAACATAATAAAAAATCAATACTTTACACGAAAATTTATTGATTTCATTAAATCTAACCAACTTATAACTATACTTGGAGTCCCTCTGGGGCTACTGCAAGTCCAAAGCCCGGATAAAGGAGGAGAGTTGGACATGGAGTTAGCAACCCCATCCCGTAGAAAACTAACTCACTAAAAATCGATAACCAGAAAAAATTATTCAAACCATTTAAACTCTACTGTGGGAGTCAGAAGGTCTTCGTTTAAAAGAGTTATGACGCCTCGTGGTGAAAGTCGAGTTCCTTCGCAAGTCACGGGGCCGATGTCCTTTCTGACAACCAGAACAACCATTTATTTAGGTACATGGAATGCTCGTACAATGTGGGAGACTGGGAGAGTCATCCAAGTTGCTGCAGAAATGAGAAGATACAACGTGGAGTTGGTTGGAATCAGTGAAACACATTGGATGCAAGTTGGACAACAAGGACTAGCTTCAGGGGAGCTGCTATTATATTCCGGCCATGAAGAAGAATATGCCCCACATACACAAGGAGTTGCATTGATGCCATCAAAATAAGCACAAAATGCACTTATAGGATGGGAATCTCATGGACACAGGATAATCAAATCCTCCCTCAAAACAAAGAGAGAGGGCATTACAATGAACGTCATAAAATGCTACGCGCCTACCAACGACTACAATGAAGACGCTTAAAATCAATTCTACGATAGGCTGCAGTCAATCGTCGAGAAGTGCCCAACAAAGGACCTGACTATTCTGATGGGAGATTTAAATGCCGAGGTTGGAATTGACAACACCGGATATGAAGAGATCATGGGACGACATGAACTAGGAGAAAGGAACGAAAATGGTGAGAGATTTGCAAATCTATGTGCCTTCAATAAACTGGTCATAGGCGGGACTATATTCCCACATAAACGCATACACCAAGTTGAATGGATTTCACCAGACCACACCACACAGAACCAAATCGACCATATCTGCATCAATATAAAGTTCAGAAGGACGATGGAGGACGTGAGAACCAAGAGAGGAGCTGATATAGCATCAGATCATCACTTGCTGGTCACCAAGATATAATTAAAGCTCAAGAAGCACTGAAAAACAGGGTGGATAATATCACAAAAGTTTAATACGGCTCTTCTTCGGGATAATGACAAACTCAGTGAATTCAAGATAACCCTCAGCAATAAGTTCCAGGCCTTTCATGATCTACTTAATGGAGAAGAAACTACTGTGGAGAGCAACTGGAAAGGGATAAAAGAGGCAATCACTTCAACATGTCATGAAGTTCTGGGCCACAAGAAGCATCATCACAAGGATTGCATCACGGTTGATACACTGGATAAGATTCAAGAAAGGAGGAACAAGAAGGCAGTAATCAATACCAGCCGAACGAGAGCAGAGAAAGCCAAGGCACAAGCTGAATACACAGAAGTAAACAAGCAAGCGAAGACGAGCATCAGGGCTGACAAACGTAAATATGTGGAAGATCTAGCAATGACGGTGGAGAAGGCTGCAAGAGAAAGAAACATGAGACAGTTGTATGATACAATAAAGAAGCTCGCTGGAAATGATCGTAAACGAGAACGACCAGTGAAAAGCAAGGAAGGCAAAGTAATCACCAACATTGAAGAATAGCGAAACAAGTTGGTAGAGCACTTCGAGGAACTCTTGAATCGACCAGCCCCACTGAACCCACCCAACATCGAAGCAGCACTCACGGACCTCCCAATCGATGTCGGCCCACCAACAATTGAAGAGATCAGCACGGGCATCAGACAAATCAAGAGTGGCAAAGCAGCAGAACCAAACAACATTTCAACAGCGGCAATGAAAGCAGACGTAGCGGCAACTGCAGAGATACTTCACATTCTCTTCAGCTGGATTTGGGATGAAGAACAAGTATCAAGAAACTGGAAAGAAGAACTTCTGATCAAAATACCGAAGAAAGGCGATCTCAGCACGTATGATAACTACAGAGGCATCACTCTTCTCTCAATACCAGGAAACGTCTTCAACAGGGTATTGTTAAGCAGAGTGAAGGACTCCATAGATGCCCAACTTCCAGACCAACAGGCTAGATTCGTAAGGATCGATCGTGTACAGACCAAATCGCAACACTACGCATCATTGTGGAACAACCAATTGAATGGAATTCATCACTCTATATCAACTTCATCGACTACGAAAAAGCATTTGATAGCGTGGACAGAACAACACTATGGAAGCTTCTTCCGCTGGCCGGACACTATATATATATATATATATATATATATATATATATATATATATATATATATATACAAGGCTTTATATCTAAATACATTTATATAATAAACCATATAACATTTTCACTATTTTCTACCTTATTTCTAATTACTGAACTGTTTTAATAATTATAACTTACAACTAATTCAATACAAGATGTATTATTTTAGGGGGGGGGAGAAAATAACTATGGTGATTATAAATTTAAAGATGATATTTTATTTGAATTGGTCAAACTTGTGTATCATATGATATCATTCAATAGATTTTCATCAGTTCAAATTTAGTTTACGTAATCTAAAAAATTGAAAATAAAGATATAATATGATCAATTGAAAACAATAAATCCATCAGTGAAATTTAATTATACATCTTTGAGTAAATTTCTTTTCAATTATTATATAATATGGACTTTGGTATTTAATAAGGACTAGTTACCTGTTACATAATACTATCCAGTCATTTTGCTTATATTGATGAAATTCTATATCATTCCATTGTATAAGGTATGATATTTTTATTATAAGAAATCATTCAGTCAATAACTGTTATAAAACTGTAAGAAATGTTATGAAGTTACTAGACTTGAACTTCAAAATCATTCATAGTAACGTTAAATAGAAATGTGAAAGAAAGTTTAATTCTTGAATTAGATTATTACAATAGTACAATCATTGAATAAATTTTTTCCTGATTAGCGTTTTTTAGCGAGTTAGTTTTCTAAGGGATGGGGTCGCTAGCTCCATCCTAAACCCTCCTCCTTTATCCGGGCTTGGGACCGGCAGAAGCCTCCAGAAAGACTCCAGGCGGGGAAAAGACCGGTGTCAAGCAAGGTTTCTAACTTTCACCCTTTCTCTTTCTCCTGGTGATCGGCTGGATCATGAAGACGTCAACATCTGAAGGGAAGCATGGAGTGCAGTGGACAGCTACGATGCAGTTGGATGATCTAGACTTCGCAGATGATCTGGCTCTTCTATCGCAAACGCAACAACAAAGGCAGGAGAAGACAACCAGTATAGCTGCAGCCTCAGCAGCAGTAGGTCTCAATATACAAAAACGGAAAAGCAAGATTCTCCGATACAACACAGCATGCACCAATTCAACCACAATTGACGGACAAGATTTGGGAGATGTAAAAACCTTTACATATCTGGGCAGCATCATCGATGAACACGGTGGATCTGATGCATATGTGAAGGCGTGGATCGGCAAAGCAAGAACAGCATATTTACAACTGCAGATCATCTGGAACTCAAAACAATTGGCAATCAACACCAAAATCAGAATTTTCAATACAAATGTCAAGACAATTCTACTGTATGGGGCGGAAAC